AGCCGCTCTGGCTCGCAGCAAGCAGATCGAGAAGAATCTCAAGGAGGATGGTATCCAGGCGGCTAAGGACATTAAACTCCTGCTGCTTGGTATGTCGTTACTCTTTATTAGGGTGCGATTTTCCGATTGATTCACTAAAAATCGATTTTTTTGTAAAAATAGCCCTCTTTGTTAAAAAAAAAAAAAGAAATGATTGTTTATAAAGAAATTGATTTAAAATAGCCCCTTTTAATTAGAAAAATCAATTTTTCGCAAAATAGATCAGTTTAAAATTACTAATGTCATTTGGAAAGGTCAATTTTTTGGAGACAATCTTTCGGAACATCCCTATTCTTTATTCATCTCGAAGTATAGTCTGGCGATCTGGCGAGAATAAACGCGATATGTATGCTCGTTAAAATTTTATAACAAGAAATCGTAGATGTAGACATATTCTTATGCGTTATTTTCGAGCATGAGTAATTTGAAAAAAAGGCACAGTTAACATCCAAAATTTTTGCTCATCATTTTATTTAGCATGAAACACATGATTCAATATAAAATCGAAATAAAATTAGATGATATAAAATTTATATAAAAGTAGATGCTTTGTTAATTTGAGTCTAAATTTCTACGTAATCTCTTGAAAATCCATCAGATTACCATCTATATTTCTCAGGATTAAATAAAAAATGCTAATTGAATGATTATGGATTTTTAAATATTTTATCAAGTTCTTCTTTTTTTGTACCTAATCACTCAAATTTTATAGAGTTTTATTTAAATTAAAATTTAGCTATGAATATAATGCTATCATATATTACGCGGAAACAGGTCAAGCAGAAGAGATAAACAAGTAGTTATTTGATTTGGATCTGGCGACTTGTATATTCAACATGAATGTAGTGTAGATACCAGTATTAGAACAATAACTACAAAAGGCAGAAGGACCGTAAAACATTTCAGGGTCGCAAGATACGATTGCGCTGAGATACAAACTGTAATGAGTGAAATTATGCTAAAGTATCTAAAAAATTAACTGAATACAGATGAAAATAAATTTTGTTGTATTATCAAAATAATTATGTATGGCCACTCAAATTTATTGCTAGACTGTCCAAATTTTTTACAATATTGCTCATCATGTTTGAGTTTTTTATGTAATTATTTTAATGCTCTAACAAAATTATTTTTGAATTTATTAAATTTTTAGATATTTTGATAACATTGTTCTTTCCATGAAATTATAATATCGATTATGCCTGTTGCAATTTATATTACAATTTTACAATTAAATCCTATTTTAATTGTCATGTTGTTCGCTTGAACATCGCAAGGAATTAACAATACAAAAAACTAACAAAATATGATTAGATATGCAGTAGTCGAAAATAATTGTGTGAAGACTTAATTCGTGATTGTGAGAGTTCTGAAATATGAGAAGGCTTAGACTTGATCAAATCGTATAAATATTATCGGGAAATTATCCGTCGGAAATAATGGACGTAACTTGGCGACCGACTGCGATTATATCGATGACACAGTGCGAAGTATTATATCTACACCGTCGTTTCCTTCTTGCGTTAGATATTTCATGAGCTATGGATCTATGATTGGTAAGGAGCTGCGCCATTGTATGCTCTTTCTCTCTCTTTCTTTTCCGGAGTCTTTATTGATCTATCTAACTTTCTAAATGCGTGCCAAATCACAAGCCAATCATGTCAAAGTTCTTCGTCGCGTGCAAGAATCATCGCAATTTTTACGATTATACTATCTTTGATATAACGCCGGAAATTGATTGCGATGTTTTCCCAAAAAGAGCAAAACGTTTCGTTTACACGGAAAAAACGGTACTTTTGCCAAAGTATCTAAAAATTTAGTATAATATATAGATACAGATCTGAAAATAATTTTATTCGGACCATCAAAATAATTATATAGGATGTTCAAATTTTGATTATTAGAAGGTTAAAATTTTTTGTAGTACTGCCATTAACACTTAAGCGTTTTATTAAATTTAATTATTTATTTTAATTTTTAGATACTTCAGCAAAATTGTTGTCACAAATTTCTCATACAATTCCATAACATATTTCCCTGATTTCCCTAATTGTTTTATTTGTTTTCAATTTTCCTAATACTTCCCAGATTTCTCTGATTTTCAATTTTGAGATAAACCTGCTCTTTTTTCCATGCAGTTAAATCAGAGAAAACATATCAATTTTTCAGATTCATGCGATAATATTTCGAAACTCTTTTCTAAGTTTATCCCAGTTTAAAAGATCAAAGGCGAGATTCATCTCGATGTCCGCGTTCGAGCGTTTCTTGCGGATAAAGCGCTAGCTTTTTAAATCGACCGGCATGCAGGAAATTGAACACGACGTAAAACCGGAAGAATGGCGCAACAAGCGTGTTCCTCCTTATTGCGGAAGGGTAATGCCCGATCGTTCATCCAACGTTAGTTCTTTCAGTCCACGCCGGAACGCTTCGAGGCGCATAATTGCCGGCGTCGACATCAGATATCATCTGACGTCGGCGTTTCATTGGTGACGTCAACGCTTTGGGATGCGACCGAGATGACGCGCGATAGCGCATCTCATTTACTTGTAATCGCAAGTCCGGGTCGGGAAGGAACTTTTCGATTTAAAAACCGAAATGACAGGGACAGATAAATGATATGTAACGTGGATCTCGCGCGCCAAAAATATTTCCACCGAAATAGACGGCGTCGAGATTACTGGAGACAGAGCTGGAAAAATAAATCAGGTAGCGTTTTTTTTTCTCTCCTTCTCTCTCTTTTTTTTCGTCCGGTCTCCGCGTTTGGGATATCTGTCGGGAACCTGCTCCAACAGAAGCTGTCGGGAGACCTGATATTTGCCAGGACACATACTGTTGCCACGTGTCAGCGTCCCTCGGGCTGAGGAACATGAGAGCCATGAAAATTTCAGTCTACAGGGAAAGTCTATCGCCAGATTTTTTTTTTTAAAACTACAGGCATACGGACGACACGAAGATAATTTGGGAACGTGCGGTTTTCAACGGCATTTTATATTCGTTCACTTGAGTCACATCTCTCACATCAGGAACATATTTATTCTGGTATATTCCATCAGAAGCTTAATGAATTTTTTTTTAAGTGACAGAAACGTTTTAGACATAATTTAAGAGAAAATCTGCGCTATTACTATTCTGTTGACATAGATGTATGGGAGTTATTTATAATGATTTTTTATTTATTTATTAATTATTATTAATTATTTAGAATGAATTTTTTGTTCCTTCAGAATATCATATAAAATTGTCATAAATTCCTCATCCCAAAATTCTATAACTTTTCTTTAATTTTTGGAAATGATTTTCCCTGATTTTGAATGTTACAAAATTTTTTGTATTTTTGTCCTAATTTAGAAAAATAAATATAAACATTAAATATTTTGTTGAGAGATCAGCTTAACATAGTAATATAAATTAATATTAATGTTGCTGACACCGCTTGCATTTGTTATTGTTAAATTGGTAGTCCAAAACTGCATAGGTGTGTCATGTACGTATATTAAATTTTTTTAAGCCAAAAATTTTGGAAAATTCCTTGACTTTTTTCTGATTTTCAGTTTTTTTGGCAACTCTGATTATAAATAAGTATGGGAACTATAATACAAGAGTTTTAAAGATTAGAATTGTCAATGGAATAAATTGTTTTTTCCGTTGACATCCTAAGATGGAAATTAAGATTGAGATATAATCCTAAATTATTAATGATAAATTCTCACGATCATGCCTGGAGAATGCTTTCTGCAGGGAAGCATTACGTAACGTACATACAATGATTACGTAAACACAATACAGACAAATATATATATATAGGCATAGTTACAAGACCTAAGATTCATTCATGATCTCACTTCGTTTACCGATATAGCATTAAGCCGTCTACAATAAGATTTTAAATCTTGAAATTGCCGCAAGAAATTGACTAATTATAATCGAATGTGAGGAGAATAATCGACTATGATTGATCAATTTTTTATGGCTTAAGACTCAAAGCTTAAGTTTTATACCTTAAAATCCCATTGAAGACGCAGCTTTACGTCGAAAAATTTCATATTTTATTGTGTTGTCTTCCTATCGATATATTAATGAGACGAACGTCATGTTAGCATTTATCATCTGTTGTACATATTAGTAATACCTCTATGATTCAAAGTCTTAATGAAAAATCCTTCGTCGGCCTTGCGCTATAATTAGAGGCAAAATCAGTGCGGAGGTGGCATAAAATGTACCGGCGTATTGTCTCCGTTTATCTGTCGCGTACTAATTGCTTCGCACGTTTTCAATTTATCTTTTCGCCTTTTCTCGCTTTCCGTTTCGCATAGGAACATATCTGGTGTCTGGTGGAATTGTCAATATTGATTTTATTTTTTGGGCATACTCCACGTCGAATCCTTTTAATCCTTAGAACACAAGATGATTTTCCATTCATTCATGTCCCGAATTAATTTTTAATGTACAAAAAAATATTAAGTGATTCTTTGATATTTTCAGAAAGTATTTATAAGGTTGCGTGTTAAAAAAAGAGATGCCCTTATTATCAAATTATTATAACATTTATATACAATTTTCTTTATTAAAAATAAAATTCTAGTTGGAAATGAACAAGTCAGAATTTTCTTGTTAAATCTACTGAATTCTAGTTGAGATCAGAATCTAATTGAATATATATTCAGAATCTTCTGAAGTTCGCCCACTTTCAACTAGACGTTTTTCTTAGTAAAATTGTTTTGCTTTTAATTGATAAATAAAATTTTCTTGTTTAATTACGTAAATTTAATTCGCTGAAGGTTCCTCATTTTTAACGATAATGGACTTCCGAGGACACATCTGTGCATTCTAAAAATCATATTCTATCGTTAGCTTGAAATGCGACGTGCGAGCACCGTGAAAGATACGTTTTCTAGCGAAATATGGGTCCTGTTTGTTGGTGTAACTAGTGACGTCATTCGCCGACGAACGTGCGTGTATGTACATGCGCAAATTGGCTGCGAGTATTTTCATCCGATTAATGGTGCCGCGACTGCGAAATACAAATGCACGTTGCGTATTTCAAGGTGATGCAGGGCGGCTCTATGGTATAAAATGTCAGCGATTGAGACTTCTTTGTCGCTGAGTGCAGCATGTCGGTAGATAGAATGTTAAAAATACGTGAAAAAAAGAGAAAATAGCCTTTTTATTGCAGTTTTGTGATGACGACAGGGTCTTTTTTAAAAATTTCTCATTTTTATTATTATTTCTTCAATCTATTTTTCGAATTTTTGTGCTCAGATTGAACTTAGAAGCAAGGAAATTTTGTCTAAACAATTTTTCTTATTTCGATGTTCTTAAATTGAATTCTAAGATTTCAATGCAGCAATTAATGATGAAAATTTACAGAAAGATTGAAAAAATATTATATCATATCCTTCCAGATTTTCTAAGTATTTTATATACAAAATGCATCGAATATATCCAACGATTTATGAGAGAATTCTAGTTCACATAGACGGTTTGCTTCGGAAGTCATGAAAGATTTTGTAAACATTAAGCATACTATAAAAACAGCATTGATTGTATATCGAGTGTATATACTGGTGGCAAAATGGCAAAGGGCACGGAAAGTTTGGACTTGAAACCGACCAAAATGTTAGGAGGGCAACGTAATAAAATAGAATTTATTGAAGCCTATAATTTATAACAACCCACGATGAAGTGTTTTTCCATATGTTATGTTGCATTCAATATTTAATTATAATTAATATTTCATTTTTCGATTCAGAATCATAATGCAATTACATGTAAAATTACGTAGGATTTGCTGTAATTTACGATATAATTGAAAAGAGTAAAGTTTCTGAAAAGAATAAAATAATTTTTTATTTCTAAATATTTTGAAATTAAATATTATTATTAAAAGAGATATCTTTGCAAACTATTGAAAAATCAGATGCATTTTTAATATAAATTTGCAATTTCAATGAAATATATATTATGTTGTTTTTAGTAATAATTAATAATCGCTAACGAATAAAAATAATATCCAATCGATCTTCGACGTATGGAAATTTGTTGAATGAACTTTTCTTCGTGATATTTTATACATAAAATTTGTATTAAATATGAATAAAATATTTCTGCCTTTTTATAAATTTAGCTATGGCTTTTTTATAATTCATGTATTCACACGCGAATTCATAAAATTTTCTTCATTTTATAATATTACTTCATGTTTACAAAAGCTGCTATTAATTTTCTCTTGTATTAACATTTCATGAATATTCCTATGCATGGTTGATTCCATACTAAATTGATGATATAGCGTCAATGAAGTGCAAACAGTTTCTTGTCTCCTGCAGCGCTCGATGGGCACTCAAATTTATCTAAATTATCTCCGTCCCACATTTATCATGTTTGTGATGGATAAAGGCGCCCTCACAACGCGCCACACATTTTCACGGATAAAGCAGGTGAATGAGAACGCAGCTGCAGGAAGTAATGCGTATCGGCGTACATTTCTGGACCGGATTCGAAAGATAAACCGATCATTTACAGTTCTGAGTTTCGGTGAAGCTTCAACGTGTAGTAAATGCGGCTGACAGGTGCCAAATTTTACCGCGGCGTCATAGTAAACGCGATCTGATTTTAAATCACACCAAAACGGTATAACAAACAATCGTATGAATAATAAGCGTTTCCAAAAGTATATGATGCAGTACAGGAGATGAATCAAACCTGTACGGAAAAGACGGTTCTTCTGAAGCAAAGTAAAATAGGATAAAACAAAATCCAAACACTCTTTTTCGATTTCAGTTTTAGATAAATCTTGGATAAACTGTACTTAGAGAGAGAGGGGGGGAAGAGAGAGAGCGACAGAGAGAGAGAGAGAGAGAGAGAGAGAGAGAGAGAGAGAGAGAGAACTCTCTGGTAATTTATTATATTATAATAAAACTCTATGTTAACTTTCTTCGTCCCATACGGAAAGAACGGTTTTACTGAGTATCTAAAAATTTAATTAGATACAGATCTGAAAATAATTTGGATAATAATTGTTGGAGTATCAAAATAATTATATTAGAAACTTTATTGTTAGAATTTTCCAGCATTATTTATCATGTTTCATACTATTTTGATAGTGTCCATTAAAATTATTTTCTGATCTACATCTAGCTAAATTTTTAGATACTTCAACAAAATTGTTCTTTTCGTATTCAATTTTGAAAATTACAATATAACATAGAATTTAATACAGGCATACATTACCACGAGCTCTCCAAGTACAGTTTATCTAAAGTAGAGTGCTTGGATTTTATTTTATCCTATTTTATCGAGGCGTAGCGCCTACTATTTTACTGGATACTAAAAGTGATTACTTTAGCGGAATAAAATAGAACTCACAAGCTAGATCGCGATGGTGAACATGATTTTGGCGAGTTTTAGACAACTTTGCAACTTGTTTGGCTCTAGTCAATGTTTTACCTCGGCTAGAACGCGACGAGGATCATCGTCGGTATCTCGAGATAAACTCTTTTCTTCCCGGTCGCCGTTTATAGGGCGCATTTACTTGAGATCTCACGTGTATTCAGTTGATGCTAAACAGCTCTAACCGTTGAGTAGCTATTATAGATGGCTACTTACGTTAGGAGTGCTTTTAAAAGTGGGAGAGCGGAGGCTTGCGGTAAGCAGGAAAAGCGAGTTCCGTCGACGTATCCGGTATATAGAGCGACATATTTTGCGATAACTCGTGACTCTGCCCTAATGCGTTCGTCGATCCGATTTTAGTGATGCCTGTGAGATTATTTCTCTTATAAAATTGTTGATAGAAAATTATAATTTAATGTCGTCGACAGAAGCGTCTTTACTTTTTTTTTTATACAACTCGATAAATATACAAATTAACAGTCATATTCCGATGTACACTGTCAGTATTGAAAATCCATAGTATATGTAACGTGAACTATAGATTTTCAGAACTGGCATCACATATAGAAATATGGTGAATATACGAGATCTATCACTGAAAATTTTAATACACATTCTTTGACGGACTTTTAATTGAACTTTCTTTGATGATAATTTAATAAACAGGGATTATTCGTCACAACTTTTCAATGTTTGATACGAAATGTCATTAAAGATAGTTCTGGAGTCTCAAAGTAATTTCCCGAGTAAATTACGCTTAGAATTAAACAGAAAGAGGCTTATCTTTCCTTTGTTCAACGTGCAAAGTTCATGTTGCAACGTAATTCGGCGATATGCAATCGTGAAAGACTTGATCGCTCTCAATTATTAATGCCCCTCTTTTGTTTTTCAGGAGCGGGCGAGTCCGGCAAGAGTACGATCGTGAAACAAATGAAGTAAGTATAATCGTCTTAGTGCTTCGCGCTACATACGCTAATTATCATTTGGAGGAGAGGGGGTTCTATTATTAAAACGTGATTACATCCATATATATTGTTTATTCTTAATACATCGACCATTCCTGATTACACCAATTAAATTAAAACCGAGTTGACTATACGGAAAAAAATATATGGGTGATTCAGAACAGCTATAGTTTGCTGTGCGAGTTCAATATCTACAACTAAGAAGATTTGATAGTTTAACAAAGACATTATGTCTGCAAGTAACTATTAGTAAGTTAATTCAATTAATTCTTACAATTGATAATGTAACAAGTTTTTTTCATTACAGTACCGAAAATCTTAGCTAGCACGTTTTGTTAAAAATTTTGATCTATATATTGGATTGATTTTCGTAAATAGTTATCTTCGCTGTATTAACAAAACTATGCATTTACAAATATGACTATTTATAATCGCTAATTTTATTCAGCTGTATGACTTTATTAATTTAACCGAGAAAAATAACTGTATACTGGCTGAATCAGTGAAGTTTTTAGTTGTTTTAATAAACCTTTTTTTTCGTGTATATGCAACAGATTCCAATTTACATTTGTCAATCTTGTAAAAAACTTTGGATTGAATAAAATCATTTAAACGATTGCGAGATACAAAGTCGTAGAGTTTACGATAAATGTGAATTGTGCGGAAACTTACTCAGAATTATAGTGCACGCAGTTATGAGAATGATTCATCTGGCTCATGTATGTGCGTAATTAGATGAATTTTGGACTCGTTACCCGAGAATTTAATGGCTCTTCCACTGGAAAATGAGATGGTACGAAGAATGCGTCAAGAACGGGTTGTGGATACAATGGTTGTGGGTACAATGCGATGTCTGCAAACGCTCGCATCCTTTGATGTTTCGCGACGTCACGGAAATGCTAATTTGCGAACACTCATCAGTCAGCTGCAGACTGATTACGAGAAATACTTTCCCACGTTCCTTTCCTGATCCCCGAATAGATCGCTAGATTTTTGTAGTTTAAAGTTTAGCTTTAATTATCTTAATTTTTAAATTCTACGAGCCCCTCTCTCTCTGTTTTTCATTATCTAATTTATATGATATCTTTTACATACATATGTAATCAGAATGTCTTTTTACGTTTTTTTTTAAATTTTACGTAAATTATATTTGTTTTTTAATTTATCATATAAATCAAATATATCTTTACATTAAATACAAAGCACCACTACGGTCTGAATGTTAAGATGTTGATCTATTATATATTCATTTAAATGAATTAATTTCAGAAATTATAATTGCGTGCTGATATGATTGTCAGACTTTCCACGCAATCAATCTCAAATATTAATAATCCCCTCAAATTTAATCTTAAAAAATTGTAATAAACTTATTGCGAAAAATATATCTTTATTTCTAAAAAATATAAACGTATAATAAAAATATGTATCCTTATTTTATTCTTATTTTTTACTTTTGTTAATAGTAAAAATTTAATGCTAATTGTTTTTAGTTTTACTATTTTTAGCGATCGAATTTCTACTTAATCAATTATTTCGAAAGAGGTTTAGTCCAGTCCATCCAAAACGATGCTACTTAAATTTGAATGATATAACTTAATAACTGGTCGGAAATGAGTCACTTCTAATTAAGTACGTTTCAGTTTGCTTACTAAAAGTTAAATGACTTGAATCATAACGCATGCTTATTCACTTGACAATTAAATTGTTTGGGATGTTTCATTATAATAAAAGTATTTTTCGTTCGCAATTCTGCTACTTGGTTAAATCTTGGCGATGATCTAAATCTTCTTAATCCAATCAAAATTATTATTAGTGATTTCATTAAAAAATATTTACATAAAAAACTGTGCTAAAAAAGAAAGAACATCGCGCAAAATTACTGATAGACAAATTCGCGTAAAAAGGAAGATTGCGCGTTTATTTATTATACCTATTAGTATTCTATGTAAGTGTTATCAAAAGGAGATAATTTTTTCATTAAATAAATCTCATGTTGCGTTTATATTCGAAAGACTTCTTTACACTGTATTTTGCGCAGAAAGAGAGAGCGAGAGAGAGAGAGAGAGAGAGAGAGAGGGGCGCAATTTCCTGAATTATCACCGCTGCGCTTCGAAAGTAAGCAGAACGTCGAATAATAGCGCGTGTCCATCTCTCGCGAGTGCAAATAATAGATTAATCTTTTCGCGTCCGTACATCGGCATTATTTCGAGGCAAACTGTTGCCTCGCCTCGGCGAGATCGATACTTGCAGTGTTACGATACGCTCGCGCGTATCCGAGGGCAGCAGCTGTTCCGTGATACGCGCGCTCGAGATGTTGGCACCGTATTCTGCCTCTCTCTCTCTCTCTCTCCCTCTTGCGCGTAGATTAGCATATTCCCTCTGTGGGGTGTCTCTCTCTTCCTGTGACCTGCGCCATGAATGGGCCCTGTTCAAGGGGTCCCACGAACAAAGTTACCGCTGTGCGTGCTCTCCCAATGGAAGGGAAGCTGTCAGTCGTGAATAGGGATGCTCCTCGTATCTAGATAGCATCGAGGAGCTTTTCTTTTTGATTCTCAGTATTTTTATTTTCGAAGTTAATTAGATTTCTTTTTTTAAAGCCTAAATAGATAGAACGTATTGGATAAAAATACTAGAGATTTTCCATGGACCACGATTTCGAAATATTACTTCGAAATGTTACTTCTTTATAAAAAAATCCTGATGTAACATATTATCAATGTTATATTAGAAAAAAAAAGAATAAGTATCACATTGTGTATGATTGTGCCCGACTCTGAAAACGTGGAAAGTTATAGATTCATAATATTCTTAAAACAAGCTTCTTTTCATACAACCGCATCTCCTGTACACCAGTTGCATAATTTATAGATGTGCATAATGCAAGGAACAGTCGGTACTCGAGACTAAAGTACGAGCGAAGCGTGATTTTACGCATACTTTTATGCGGCCGGTTTTTTCTTCTCGCGTGCGAGCAGTCATAAATCTAGCGGTGTATACATATAGCGTATTACATATAGCGTTCTCCGTGCCGTCTCGTTAATATCGTTATTCTCGAAACAGCGGACGCCGCTATACTGTTTCCGTATCATTTATTAACATAATGGACAATGCAATATTCTTTGTTGAGATTAACGCACCATTAAAATGTTGTAACGTTTACGCGACGGTCACTTTGATGGGAATTACATTAGAAAATATTGCTGCACAAATTATATCCGTTAATTAAAGCTCTGGAGTGTTCGCTTCTAATTTTTTATATCTAGAAAGGAAAACCGAGGACGTCGTATACGTGTTTGATAAAGAAATTATTAAAATTCTTGGAATGTTTGTACATGATGACATGTATATATATATATATATATATATATATACACACATATATATATATGTATATATATATACACATGACAAAAGAGAGTTGATTAATGCTAGAATAATATTGTACAAGTGAATTGACTTAAAACTCCTTCGGCTTCTCTTGGATATAAATGAATATAATATTATCTGACTCCAAATTTACATTTTTTAAAAATTATAAAAATATACAAATTATATAATTACGTAAATATATCTAGAATATTTTTTTGCGAGTGATTATACATACAGAAAAATATACTTAACCGCTGGTATGGACATAGATCTATTCCACGTAATGTTACACTGTGTTTTCACTTGTATACATAGCGACGTCGACTCTATAATTCACCTGTGTTAACTCCGAACATTGTTACGATATATATATATGGGCGCTCATGTAAGTCACGGAGTACATGTAACGCGCATTACAATTCATATATGCGTTTACACAGGGTGCACTACGTGGCATATATTAATTCGAGTCGTTGCGCACGTGATGCGCGTATATTATAGCGCGATTGCAAACTCCTTTGTGAGTGAGCCGAAAGATGTTTAAATCAAATGGGAAATGTCCACGTGTCTATTCATTCAAATCGTATCGAATTAACACGAGTATCGATATTACCCTTGACACATATTCTACTTTCTCAGAAAATTGTTTCAGTCTTAAGTGTAGCCTTTTCCCTCTTTCCTTATTTTATAAGTAAACATTGTCTTAAACTAATCATCCTTATTCTAATATTTACGAATAGGTGACATCCTGTGTGCGTGTCTTGCCTTGCGGACGTGCTAACGCGAGTGTGATTCTGCTTTCAGAATTATCCACGAGAGCGGCTTCACGCCGGAAGACTTCAAGCAGTACAGACCAGTCGTATACAGTAACACGATACAATCTCTAATCGCTATTCTCAGAGCAATGCCTAATCTGGGCATCAGCTTTTCAACCAACGAGCGAGAGGTAATGTGCATTTGTGTCTATTCGAATGCTTCGGAAAATAGGAGTTTGTTGTCGGGGAGAGATTCTGTTGAACTATAAATTTGAAATATAATACGCGTGATGCGCCACGCACATCTTAGACGTTACTTCAAAATAGGTGCTCTCCAGTAAGCGACATAGGTGACACAGTGTAACACGGTGAATCATTACATTCTTGTGGTTTGCTAATATTAGACAAAGATGAAATGATTCGCTGTTAAGCTATAAATACAGGGGTTGACATTTCAATCTCCTAATCATCCTAAAATTCCATAATTTTTTTCTAATTTCCAGAAAAAATTTCATGATTTTCCCTAATGCTTGCAATAATATGTTGATATTTTTTTGTAGTTCGTCTTGATTTGGAAATCGTCAAATATTTTGTTGAGAGATGCAATTTAACATTGCAATATAAATTAATGTTGCTGATACTACTTGCATTTAATTGTCAAGTTACACTCTAAAAAATATCGATGTTGATTTAACACCCATGTAGTGTCTATTAATTCTCACTGTGTTGGTGTTAATATTAACACCAACATGTGAATTTCAAACTCGATGACATTAAACTTTTTTAAAGTCAAGAATTTTATTTTTCAGAAAATTTTATAAAATTCCTTTTTTCCCCTGATTTCTCTGACTGTTTTCAGTTTTCTTGATATTTCTAATTTCTAATTTTGTGGCAAACCTACAATATTATATCGTACGATAAATTTTTCAAGCATTTTATTGAGTACAGAACAGAAAAAAAGCTTCAATTTTTCTATCCTATAGTCAATCAACAAGCTTGAAAAATTTGTCGTACAACTAATGTAATACTAGAGCCTTACACTGTGTCATTTATATTTCTTGTTGGAAAGTACCCAATAACTTCAAGGTAAATTCCCGTTATGTTTGACATACGTCTGCGTTTCATTTAAATTAAAATTTTTAACTTTGTTTTATATTTCCAGCTCGCGTCAATGCGTTATAGTACTTATTTAGTAAAACGGATACTCCAATTTTCTTATCTTCACAAATTTTTGTCAACCATTAGCTCAGGAAAACGATCAGATTGTATGCGCAAAAATTTACATTTTGTTTCCGGTGTAATTTATTAACGATGTCTTTATACTGCTCATCTCTTCATACTCGAGATACATCCATGCTCGTATCGCTCATTTCATTTCAATGAAATGTCAAATGCAAAATTATGAAAACGATTCAATAACACGCATATCAGCATACATCTCGTATGTTATTTAAATGCTGTGTATCGATCATTTTAACTTGTGGAGCATGACATGACATCCAGAATGCGGTTTGCTACTTGCCGACGTTATCTAATGAATGAAGCATTCAACGGCGAATCATAATGTGTTGCCTGGTTGATTAACCGTCTAAAGCGCGATCGTGTAAGACGATCTGACTGGCCGGATGCGTGCCCCCAAGATCGTACGAATAATTATTGATCATTTCTCCTTAATATTACACTCCTATAATTCTTTGCGTTTGTGTGTATGTGTGTGTGCGCGCGCACGCGTGGATTATAAAATATCTCAGACAAATACATTATAGACGAATTGTGAAAAATTTATTATGATTATTTGTTATATTTAAAATACAGTCATATAACATTCATTATGTAAATCATATTGATTTTACGCCAGAAATAAAATTCTACTTGGCACATGCATAGTAAACAACATTTTGTCTTTGTGTTGAAAATAGTGCATTCAAATCTTTGTTAAAATATTGTGTTGAATTTTTAACATATTTTAGAGTTCATTTGTCGTGTTAATATAATGTGATCAATTTAAATTTATTTTTTTACATTATGTTATTTAAATATTTTGTATTGAATTAATATTCATCATTTCTTAGTTAAAGTAACATTATTTATGATAGTTAATACACACATAAATAATGATATTTTAAAATTTTAAGATGAATGAATAAAGTACATTAGTTAATTGAACGTATTCTAAATGTTAATTTTACTAAAAAAAATTGACTTTCACAATTTACTTACAAATTATGTCAATGTTACATTTTGTCTTAATTTTTTTACATAATATTTATGTTACTTTCTGACATATCTCTTTTGTGTTAAATTAAGACAAAAATTTCGTTTAAGACAATTAGTGAGATGTGTTAAATTTAACATAAATTTTTCAACTGTGTGTACAAACTAGATTAGGGAAAAATTCTAATTATAATATTATTTCAGTAAAGTAATTAGATATTAATGAGAATATATTGATGTGATAAAAATACTTCAAGTATAAGGATTTACATGTTTTTCGTGCTTCCAGACGGACGCAAAAATGGTATTCGACGTAATACAAAGAATGGAAGATACGGAACCTTTTAGCGAAGAATTACTGGCGGCTATGAAGAGGCTGTGGTACGACAATGGAGTGCAGGAGTGCTTTGGTAGGAGCAATGAGTATCAGTTGAACGACTCCGCGAAATAGTAAGTGCGATTATTCTTTGAATGAATTAAACATTTTTTAATATACAATTCAATTAATAACTATAATCTCGAAATATAATGATGTTTAATTCGGCTGCAAATTATTAATTAGAAATAACTTATAAATTATGTATAAAGGAGATGTTTGTCAATTTTATTTAAATTGTATTATTTAAACGAGAATTATTTCGAGAAATATAAAAAAAATTTCTTTTCTTAGCAATATAATTGACCAGTCATAATCGATTATTCTTCTTACGACTGTGACAGTGTCGATGTCGTACGGTTTAAGACTTAAAGCTTAAGTAACGATTTATAGTAGAAAGTGCGTTATTCTTGAGAATTTGTGTACTCGAAAGGGTGCGCGCGTGCGGAGGGCAGCAGGAGCAAACCTCATCCTGAACGTGAGACTTGTCGTCCCTCCTCTCCTTCTCGATGCGTTTCGCAGGCATATTTCCGCGCTGCCCCCTTCGTTGTGGATATTGATTTTGTAGTAGCGTTGGACATCTCGGTGTAGTGCAGTTTTCCAATACTTTCATGAGTTATCTTCGTTAAGCACATGTTTTTTTTTATTACAGGATGCTTTTGAGCGCGTGTAATGATTGCGGATCTATTCCCCTCGATAAAGTCGAATCACAACATTCGACAAGTCGATCGCAAATAACGCGATTAAAAAAAGAGTGAATTCGTTTTTCCAACATTCTCCGCGAGCGATTATTTTCGGGGAAAAATTGAAAATTGCCACAAAATTAGAATTGTCAGGAATTGCCAGGGAAATTATGGAAAAGTTAGGGAAATTTGTAAAATTTTTTGGCAAATTAAAATTCTTGGCTTTAAAGAAAGTTTAGTGTACGTACATTATATCTACGCAATTTTGAAATACTATCAATTTAACAATTAAAAATGCAAACATTGTCAGCAACATTAATAATAATTTATATTGTTGTGTTAAATTGATCTCTCAACAAAATATTTAACGTTTCCAAATTAAAACATAAATTTTGAAATATTATTAAAAGTCGACGAAACTTTGTTTAGAAACAGAGAAAAGTTATGGAATTTTAGAATGAGGAATTTATGACACAATTTTGATTACTTTATTTTTTTTTTTACGAAAATAGTACATATACTATGTGATAAAAAGTCAATTAAAGTCACATTAAAGAGACAAGGAAACAGTTTCTACATTTGATTTATTCGAGATTTCTACTTATAAACTAATTCATTTTCACAATCCAAGTAAGATAATTTCGTACAAGCTTCGCCTTTTTTTTCATGAGAGATCCCCTTACTGACAATGAAACATGAAGAGAAATCAAATCGCGTTGTATAAACAAGTTGGTCGCGAAAGATTTAATCGCACGTAATCAAGGTAGTATGTATGCCACGTCGTCGTTGTGTGTCCATTGTTGCGAGGTCCTGTCGCTAACTATTAGCGACAGGACTCGATTGGAGCATACGTGTTCTATCGTCTGCACGCAATACGAGAGGCGACGGTCCTTTTTTTCCCTTCAACGCCATGCCGTTTTCTGGCGCCGTTCCTAGCTTTAATAAACCGCACTGCGGTTTCGCACCGGGTTGCACGATATTGCATACAATACACTTATTACACGCAAGTGCGCTCTCTCTCTCTCTCTCTCTCTCTCTCTCTCTCTCTCTCTTTTTTCTTTCGTCATCATTTAATATCATTCACCGAGGAAACCCTTATCGCCATTGATAATTATGTATAACGAAAGTCGATGCTTTTTCGATAAGAGCGCATGATATTCTCAATTAAAGTCGTGAAATATGCAAAATACGAATACTTTTCAATAATTATATTAATTATTTGCATTCGACTCATTCAAAAACATACATATTTATGACGGAACAAAAAATTGTATATTTAATACGATATTTGTATACATAAGAATATAAATGATATTGTGCTGATATTAATAGACTAAATTTACAAATAGATTAGTGCCGTTTGGTATTTTACGATAAAACAGTATTATTGACGTGCTATTAATCTTGGAAATCTTTTATCGAAAAATTGGAAAAAAATGGGCGAAAAAGAAATTTTGTCTCTGCTTGCAGCAAATGCCACATATCGAAACATTATATATATATTGATGCAAAATCATGGTGATTTCTCGAATTGAAATTTCTGAATTTCCGGCTAGAAAATTTTTTCATTCTCAATTTGCTTATAATATTTCTAAATTATATTCACGATCTCATGTAAGATAATTTCGGTATTCGATATTCTGACTTGAGGAGAACTCAATCATCGGTTCAAAGACTCATCAACCGTGCAGGTCTTCTGAAATTTCAAAAATGAACATTTCGAGGAAAGGGATGAGATTTTCTTGAATAACTCTTGGGAATATATATATATATATATATCTATTGTGTGTGTGTGTGTGTGTGTATGTGTGTGTGTGTATATATAGAATCGCAGCGGGAATTTCGTTTCGCGCGCAGGCCGGAAGAGGATAACGCGAATTTCCCGAGGGGTAAGTGCCGGGGGAGATGCGACAGGTTTGTCCGAAGACAGGGTCGCAAAAAGAAGGGATGGAGGAGGGGAATGATGATATAGCGGGGGAGGTAGCTCCTATAGTCGAAATGTTACGAGCAATGCGCCCCTTTCTCTCTTCTTTTCTCTTTACCGCCTTCTTCGGGGATTTTCTTCCTCTCCCTCATGCACACCTCGTCATTATTGATCGCAGATGACGTCACGCCACGCCCGTGTCACGTGGCATGCGACCAAGATGGCCGATCGGGTTCCGGCGAAACTACACCTTCTCTTCTATTTTCTGCTCAGTTTCGCATCTCTCTTTCTCTCTCCCCCCTCTCTCTTCCTCTCTCTCTCTTTGTGTTTTTTCTTTTTCTTTATTGTCGGAAAAATCTAAACTCTTTTCCCTAGGGAGGTGTTACCAGGACTCACTCGGTCGTCACGACTTTGGTGTATCTTGAATAGTCGAATCTTTCATGGCGGCCTGATTCCCTTGTGCTTCGATCTTTGCTTCCATTTCTTGCTCACTCTCTCTCTCTTTCTCTCTCTCTCTCTCTCTCTCTCTCACACTCGCTCGCTTGCTCGTTCACTTCTTCATATTCTGGACCCTTTCCATTCTACTGCATTATCTTGTTATTGTTTGCATTTTTTTTTTCTTTCTCTCTTGTTTCAGAAATTCATCTATCATTAGACCTCTTCATAATCAGCTTCTGATTAATCTCCTTTCTCATCTCATTCCTTTTTTTTTCATTACAAAAGCTAAGAGGAATTTTGTAACTCTCATCTTGCAAAGTTGCAACCCCTTACAAAGTTACAAACGCCGTAATCAGAGGTCTAAAAAGATGGCGCTGCGTGGTTTTTCCTAACCTTTTACTTTTTCTTTTGCTTCTTGGAAAATGTGTGTATGGATATACGGCGATTCTTATAATCGGAATGAAGAATTATTTTAATTATTTTAACGATTATATAAAATATTGTTGTATGATGATTTTGTTTGTGAAAAATAATTATTTTTAGCATCTATTTTAATTCTCATTGTTGAATATTTATTGTTTATTCAATATTTAATACTCATACTCAACATCGAGAAATATTAAGTCATTAATGGAACTAATTTATTTAATTAGTAATGAAGCCAATAATTTAAATATTTCATAAATTTTTGGTCGTCATTTATTTGAACATTGCTATTATTAGGTGTTGGAATTAATTCGTAGCGTTTTACAAGTGATGGGAAGTACTTTCATTAATGTATTTTTTAATGCTCATGTGAAATAAATAACATTCTTTCATTAAAAAACGCTACGAATTAATTCCAACACCTAATAATTCTGGCAAATATCCTGTAATATATTGAAACAATATTCTAAAAAAAAAAAAAGTAATCAGATTTGATTGTTACATAGAAAATTTTATTAAGGTATCTAAAAATTTAGCTAGATATAGATCTGAAAATAATTTTATTGGATTATCAAAATAATTATGTAGGATACTGAAACTGATTGCTAGAAAGTAAAAACTTTTTCAGCATTATCATCAACATTTAAGCGTTTTACATAATTAATTTGATGATGCAACAAAATTATTTTCAGATTTGTCTTAACTAAATTTTTATATACTTCAGCAAAACTGTTCTTTCTATGTACATACTTACGCGCGGCGTTGAATTAATAGTGCCGGTTTTGTGAACAATCGACTAGAAAGTTCCGAGGCGTTTGCACTGGCGGAAGCATTTCCTCGTGGCCAGTTCGCACGGCAGTTTACGAAGACCCGATTACAGTAACACCATTTATTATATCCACTCGCTTCCAGCTACTTGTTGCGAGCCGCGCCCTAGCTCCCACCTTAAACGCTCTCATCGCTCGAAATTTAAATCTGGATTTATTGTAGGTATAAACAGATGCTAATTTATTGCAAATTAATCGATAATAATCGTTCAAAAAATTATTAACCGTACAATACATGCCATGAAGAATTATGACCAAAGATGAAAATGCTGTATACGAAAAAAAAACATTCACACGTAAAAATGAATAAATTGGAATTAATTATTTCGAGTTTGTTTTAAGAAATAGCGAACAAAATAAAATATTTAATGTAGGAATAACATATGAAATACTTTGAATATGTAAATGTAATGTATTATTTGTATCTTACAATTCTGCAACATTTTTTTTATAAATCCATTGTTCTTTATAGCTTCTTGGATGATTTGGACCGATTAGGAACGAGGGATTACCAGCCAACGGAACAGGATATTCTCAGGACTCGAGTAAAAACGACAGGAATCGTGGAGGTCCATTTCTCATTCAAAAACCTCAACTTCAAGTAAGTCGAGATTTTATTTCGATTCTGTTAAATTAAATAAGAATCTATATGAATCAAATTAAAATAGGACAATAAATCGTGCATTGTAATAAATTTACATTTGAGTTAGGATTTTTAATTAGGATTGTTTGCTCATGATAACGATCGTTCCTGCTTCATTTATGTGTCGATTTGTTTATGTAATTTCACGAGCGAGTGCTCTGGAGATGCGAGGCGACTCTGTTATGAATGGTCGACGCATGAGTCATTACAGTGATAATTCGAGCATTTACTTGGAACGAAGCCGAACGATGAGTCGTATGCGCCGATGTTTCTTTCCGTTTGCCGGGGAGGATCGAAAATTAGTGTCATTAGCGGTTGAAATGCGTGTTGAAATAATTATGCCTTCGTTAAAGCCACCTGGTCTCTCAGCGATATCAAGTGCTGATTGAGAACTAATTAGACGACACATGCATAAGCTTGTGACGATTGCAGACATTGATGTTTTGTTTATCGAGATTATTTTCTAATAATATCTTGATAGAATAGTAATTAAAAGACTCAAAGACAACAAAATTGATTTTATCTTTGTCTTTTTTTTTTAGATTATTTGATGTAGGTGGTCAGAGGAGTGAGCGTAAGAAATGGATACATTGCTTCGAGGATGTAACTGCAATCATTTTCTGCGTGGCAATGTCCGAATACGATCAAGTCTTGCACGAGGACGAAACGACGGTAAATATTTATCATTTCTGACGTATTCATAATGTTTCATTTTCTTTTTACTTGGATATTCGATCGAACATTTATTAATACGTTCGATCTGAACTTAATCATTTCTAATTTAAATTTTTTTATAATTTTAATGTGTTTTATATTTTATATATGAAAAAATCATTAATGTTATTTATATGTTGCATTAAAATATAATAAATTCAACATTCTGTTGAGAAAAAGTTAAGAAAGGATTGTCTTTATCATGTCTCGGGGATTAAAAACATGTTGCTTTTTCGCTTCGTTTAATTATTATTTATTTAAACGAAGCGAAAAAGCAACGTGTTTTTAATCCCCGAGACATGATAAAGACAATTCTTCTCATTGTGACTGTAAATGCGCGCATTTACGAGATTACATTGAGAATCCGAGATAATCAGCATTGGACACGGTTGATGTATGCACATACAGGGTTGAATGTACGGGGATCCGTCAGAAGAATATCATGTCCAAATTAGGAATGTGACAGTATACACGTAACTCCAAGGAAATCAAGGGATCAATTGCCGAGGTCGCTGTACGTAGGAAGGTTCCGTTGAACTCCCCGCTCGCGTGCGATAGTGACACACGCGTGTAGTCGTCCTACCTAATGTTAATTGTCATTACGGTGTGCATCTCGTACTCTGTATCACCGGTCCATCGTAGCCTATACTGATTATGCGCGGAGAACAAGTGTATCACGTATCACGTCCGCATTAATAAGGATCGCTTTAAATATAATATCATGTTTGGAGAGCGAGTTTCATATATCACGGGCTTGAATCATTCGTACTATTTATACCAATGTGAATATTACATAAACGTATCTTTCTTGATTAGTAGTCCTTCTGCATCTAAGTGTTTTGCGGAAGAGAAAACGATGAGAATGTCAAGGGAAATTACATGAATATCTCATATAAATGAACGAGAATATAACTAGTTTTTTCGATGTTTTACAGAACCGAATGCAAGAGAGCTTAAAACTGTTCGACTCGATCTGCAACAACAAATGGTTTACCGACACCTCGATTATCCTCTTCCTGAACAAGAAGGATCTCTTTGAGGAAAAAATCCGCAAGTCTCCTCTCACAATCTGTTTTCCCGAATACGCTGGTAAATTATATATTAGAACACATGCTAGTTGTCCTAGTTTATCATCTTACAAGCATGTTAGCTAACGAGGCGTTGAATGCTCGCCGTAGGTGCGCAGGCGTACAGTGAAGCGGCTGCATACATCCAGGCACAGTTCGAAGCGAAGAACAAGTCGACCACGAAGGAGATTTACTGCCACACGACCTGTGCCACCGACACGAACAACATTCAATTTGTGTTCGACGCAGTCACAGACGTCATTATCGCCAATAATCTGCGCGGCTGCGGTCTCTACTAGGCTAATTCTGTATTCTACGTTAAGCGCAAACGGAGGAGGAAAACGTTACCCACGACATGGCTGGCCGGACGATATTCTTCAATGGGTTTGTGGCTCGTCTCGGTTCTACTCCGACGCGAGAAAGAGAGAAGGAGAGCGGAAGAGAAAGAGAGAGGAAGACGACCCCTTTCATTATCAACGCAGAAGCGTAGCAAAACGTTTAGTTTGTCTTGTCTTATACTAATGAATCTGAGAAGCCGACAATCGTTCGTGATGTCGGTTGGAGAAACAGCACGCTCCTTGACGAAGGCAGCGAGAAAGAACGATCGATTGCGGGAGAGAAACGCGTGCTCTACGAACGAGACGGTGGGCCATCGTTGGCTCCGATCCTCGGAGAGGATAGATGTCGTTTTCGCAGAAAACGAAATCGAAAGCGATCGATGACGATTTCGCAGGTGATATCACGACCTTAGTATATGTGGCGAAAAAATGAAAGGGATCTTAGTTAATCGTGCTTGCATCCGATCGTCGACGGTGACGAAAACTGTCGGATCCTGTACAAAATTGAGAGGGTCGCGGACCGTTTAATCGAAGCTGGCCATTGATGTTAAGAATCGTCGAGGCTCGTGCACATTTTGTACCGCGATTTTCAGCTTCGTTCTCGTTTCGCTATAGAAACGCTCGAGCATTCCATGACGCTCCACGCGGAGGAAGAGAGGAAGAGTCACGCGTGCACGCCGCGCATACCAGTCGAAACCTTTTCCCACAATTTTCGCACACAGATTTTACTAAGCGCACTCGAAGTTCGGTTTATATATACACATATACACGTTCATATATTCTCTTATGTCTCTCCTTTCCATTGAGGAACAAATTCGCACGCGATCGAACGTATCTCTCGAGAGTGTTGACATGCGTTTTCCCAGATTTGCATTTTGATAAACGGAGAGCGATTAAAGGACAACGCGGCAAATTTTGTAAGAGAGAGCAACGCGCGATGTCGATATCGCGAAGTATCTCCAAGCTCAGTTGATTACTTCTCGTAATATAACGGTTAGATCCTTTTATTTTTATTTTATGTCATTTCTATACGTCATGCAATTATTACGCAGTTAATACGACGACTACGTATACGGGATATTCCTAGGCACAGGAACATTACAGCCACAAATGTCGATCCATACGCACATACACGCGCATAAATTATTTTTCACGATGGAGCAATTTATTCCCTTCGTTAACGATCGTCGACAGAGTGTCATGTACAGTATACTTTTAGCGTACGTACACGAATTCCAAGTATATGTAAGAACGTGTCGACCCTTGAAATCATCGCGACTCTGAAATCATTCGTTCGTACGGTGAAATTTCCCGGTAGGAGTATTAGGGAAATAAAAAGTCACGCGATTTCTACGCGCGGGATAATCCGCATTATCTTACTCGCGGATATCGAGGGAAAAAATTTTGCGAAATAACGAGACTTCTTACGATTAAAAATGATTGTCGCTAGTTTACTGACAGTGAATCCAAGATTTTCACGTGGACGCTCCGTGCGTTCGAGCAGGGACACACGTATGCACGTACCTGTGTGTACACAATTTCTGAAACATCCTGCGCATACGCGTATGCGGCGCTGCAGCGATTCGCGGGAATCCTAAGAGTGTATTTTTCTAAGTGCTTCGTTTTTCTTCCTTTCCGTTTTCTTTTTCCTATGGGGCGTACCGACAATACTGATAGTTAAGTTCAGTGTACGAAAAGAAAGGGATGGGCGAGGAAAAGTGTACGAGAGCATGCACACACGGGACCTCACATTTAGGCGCGTGCACCAACACGTACGTTTCCGGGACAGGACAAGTAAAAATCTCGTTGCGCACAATCGTACTGTACTCGGCGCTATCTCGCATAAGTTATATTTTATTACACGGTAACTGTTGGAGGAGACACCGGCGAGGGAAAATGAGCCATCGATGATGAGCATCGTCACGTTTCGATACTCTGATTGCTTTCTCGTCAGAAAAGGAGAAGCTGAACGGACGATGGGAATAGGCATAGTGCAGAGAAGTAACTGCATATGGGGCCTACGCATAAAGATTGTCATAATTGTTTTTGACAGTGTCGTAAGTTAACGTACAATGATCGACATACGTCGATCAAACGGCATACGTTGAAAATAATTATGCTAAATCTTTGTACGTTGTCTTATGATTCTATTGGAAATACGGAAAAAAAAGATTTATTAAAACAACTAAAAGCTTCATTGATTCAGCAAATCTACGGTCGCGTAATATACATACAACCAGTTTTCTATGTTAAAGTAGCAAAGTTGTACTATTAAATAAAATTAGCGATTATAGATAATCATATTTGTTGTAATAGCACAACAAACTTGTTAAAAAAAAAAAAAAATACAGGAAAGATAACTTTCCTTGAAAATCGATCCAATATATACACCAAAGTTTTTTACAAAACGTGCTAGCTAAGCTGGCGCATACTTTTGCTACTGTAATGAAGGAAACTTGTTACATTAACAGTGTTCATTGTAGTAAAGAATTAGCTGTATTAGCACACTGATAATTACAGGCATGATTTCTTTATTGACTCGTCAAATCTTCTTAGATGTTGAACTCGTGCAACAAGCTATAGTTTTGCTGAACCATTTAATCAATTTTTTTTTCCATCAACAGTTATGGTAAATATTATGATTTTTGTACTCAGGCCCTATGTCGGGATCAGGACGAGAAGTCGATCGTTAGAGATATCAGAGATCCCGTTTTGTCATCCGACAGTGATCCTGACTGAGATCAATATAAAAATCCGTGGAGTAAAAAGACGATGACAGATTAGCCGAAAAGGGTGGATGGAAAACGCGAATACGACTGCATGATATATCGAGGGCTGACGAATGCAATTGAAGCAAGGCTCGAAAATATCGGCCGCTGATACTTGTGCTCGTCTGATACTTGAAGAAAGACGCATTCTCAAATGCTTGAACGATACTTGAACGATACAATCGTTGAAAGATATTTCTGAGATAATTTTTAGATCTTACAGGAGAGTTCATACTGTATACTCTCTTCAGAAGTATTTTGTACCGTTAGTATCGCTCGCGTGGACCACGAACCGCCATAATTTATAGCAATGTGACGAAGTATCGATACTTTAGAAACGAGCCTCGAGTGTGGCAGCAATGCTATTTATTAGCGATCTTAAATTATTTGATCTTTAATCTTTTCAAGTATCAGACGATATTCGACGCTTCTAAGCTACGTTAATAGTAGTCAAGTAGTCGATGGCATTTGGGGCGTCATCAGTGAGACGAGTGACGAGTTAATTGTACTTTGTGACTTTAGCTAAAGTGACTTAGATAAAGTATTTATACGGAAAACCAAAAAGATGAAATATGTGTAAGAAGTCTCAAACGTACCAAATAGCGCGTGCCAATGCGCATGATTTAAATTTTAATCTAGCTACGTTAGGGTATCGTGGGGCTCAGTAAATTGCGCTTTCTGTCGAGAGAGTGATTGGACACGATAGGATTGGCGTTGTTGGTTGTTGTCGCAAGATACGCGGATTCGACCGATCATGAACATCAGTTTCTAGCGTTGGTAGAGAGAAGGATTATTTTAAGTTTAAAAATTATCGTATTAACTACTGCGCTAATAAATTTAGCTATTGTAACTGTTCGAAGAGGATCAACTGTGCGACCGAGACTTCGATCGATTCATTAGAGGAGGTAGATCGCTGTCAATTGCGATGTCGGTCGAATCTGGCTATTCGCGCGCGACTTGATTGTTTATGACTATGTTGTTACCGTACTGATAAGGGAACATGTTACATTGCAAAAGTGATATAAAAAAAACTAATGTTATCAAAGTTCATATTTGAATTAAATACTCTAGATGGTCAAATCTTGGGATCGTATGGATTCTGTATCCGACTTGGGCTGAAACATGTTTGGCCATATTAACTTAGATACAAAATATTTTGAGCAATGCATTTTCAAATTTCAAATAAAAATTGTAACGTTTGAAGAGTATCATCAATTGAGCTATTTAGATTTTGGGTTCAGGAGCTTATTAGGTTCAAGTGGGTTCAAAATTTAAGTAACTCATCTGATGGTCCTCTTGAAATTATACAAATTTTATTTAAAATATTTTTTTAATATATTGTTTTCGAGATATTTTGTATCCAAGTTACAATAACCAAATATGTTCCAAATTAAGTCAGGTATAAAATCCACAGAATTCAAGATTTGATCAACTAGAATATCTATTTCAAACGTGATCTTTTGATAATATTGGTTTTTTATATTTTTTTGTGAAAAAAAATGCAATGCAGCATGTTCCCTTGTGAGAAAAATGATTCTGATTAAACACAAATGTCATTCTTTTTGGGTCTTTTTCTTGATTCAATCAGAATATTTTTCTCACTGCGCATATGCATAAATACGGTGGACACGTAAAATTGGGAAAGCGAAACAAGAAATAAAATCGAGTAAAAAAAAAAAATGTCTGGGAGACGTCTCGTCTGACGAGAGCCAAAGATTCATCTCTTAACATTGCTCGATTCGTACTGATTTCACACGAATCTAAGATTTAGTGAGAGATCGAACAACCCGCGGTGTAACGTAACTAAATCGAAATCATGCGTGAAGATGATCGTTTTTCGGCTCTAGTCAATCTATCGAGGAGCTCGTCAACGACACATGTCGGTGAAATTGTTTCACCGAGAATATATTTAGGAGAGAGGGAGGTCTGGGAGGGAGGAGAGTTCGCACGCGTTAATTTAAGTGAAATGTTCGTAGATATCAAGTACGGGGGTCGTGAACAGGAATATATGAGAGTATATTTGTAAGTCTACCGATTTACTGCGTTGCTAGCTTGTACATGATTCAGCATTAAGAAGCGATATACGCGATGTTTCTGTATGCAAGATGCATGTTTCCTTGATGAGTGCTTAGACGAGATACTTAGGCGAAACGGACGGTTGTACGCGAGCGAATGGTTTGCGATAAACTAATAGAAACACAGTACCGTTGCGAGTTCGAGACAGGAAGTGGCGGTCATGAATACTAGCTTCTTTCGGCAAGATCGAAAGAAAGATCTGTAAAACGAGTAACCCGTTCGACGTATTGCCTATTGGCCTTGCGACGTGAGAGACCGACATTCGCAAAGATCGGCGGATCCGATCAGAAATTAATTGATAAGACGACGATGACCCAAAAGATGGTAGACGAGATCGAAAGACAAGCGCAATCAGTTGATCGCGCTGCGGCGAGACAGGTGGACAGATATCTCGAGTCTGTATATATAATATAATTCTATAATATATAATAATAATATAGTATTATGTGTGATACTATATTAAATGTGAGTAATATACGCTCGAGACTCGCGGGACCACCCTGTCGCGTATTGCTGCGTATCGTGCGTAAGGGCTTGAACACGAAGATTGTTGGAAACAATTACGATAAGTTTTTACGTTGAGTTACGACTCTGTTCGAAATAGTTACAAGTTACGACAACCTTTGTGTTCAGTACTCCGATTCTCTTATGCCCATTTCTACCAATGTAATTTAATTTTAATCTCGGTTCAACTAACTCTTCATCTTTTTCTAGTTTTAAGAATTGGAGAAAAGATGAAGAGTAAGTTGAACAGTGATTAAAGTTAATTACATTGGCAGAAACGGGCATTAATAATATTAGACTTGTTCTTTTTTTAACAGAACTTTTTGCATTTTTTAACTGAACTTTTTTTTTAATTCTCTAACGTGAAGAGAAAAGGAGGAGAAATAAATCATGCAATAAGTTCGGTTAAATAAAGAAGGCTAGTTATCGGCTAAAGAACGGTATCGTTATATAGTGTTGCGCAGGTATTACATATGATAAAAAATAATGCAACGACAATATAATGATACCGACACTGACGTTAAGATTATAGAATTGGGGTAGAGGTCATAACGAGCATAAAGCTCATGCCGCACGATCAGATCGACGAGTCTCATCACCGCATTTCTTTTCGCGTCTTTCACTCTGCTGTTTCTCATTGTACGCGTGTATAAGCCAGTGAGCTCTATAATATTCTGGAGCGAGCCTTCCCTATGCTAAACTATAGAAAACTGCGGCCCAATGAAGAAGAAGGAGGCAAACAATATAGGTCTTTCTGACTCTTTTCTACTTATGGTATAGTAAAACAGCATTCGCCAATTAACGAATTCCTGATGAAAGAAAACAGTACCAACTTTGCATTAGAGTGTTCTTGTTTAGGAATTGAGACATCCTCACTCCTCGATGGCTCGCTTCAGTATGTTATAGAGCTCACTGGTATAAGCGAGCTCTCTCCCTTCGAGGCACACTTCGCGATGCACATTTCATTTCGTGTCACCTCACATTCGTCTCACAATCGATCGTAACGGGCTTCACCATCGGACTAAGCGCGACGATTTAATATCTTGGGTGTCGTCCGAGATAATTTCGCCAGGGTGGCCTAGTTCGTGCTTCAACATCGGGAAATTGAAGTTTTCCTTCTAAGCGATTTATTTAATGACGTAATGTTTCACACGATTCAAAAGTTATTTATAAGAAACGTTTGAAAAATTGCGGTACCTTTTCAAACATCTTAACGTTTAAACGTTTGTGATAAAATTGAAGATTTTTTTTATCGTTTTTTTATTTTATTTTATTCTATTTCTGTTTATTTTATTTGTATAGAAGGAAAAACAGCGATTATTTTTAATTCACCGAGGCGTTTTTCCGGACAGTCTTTATTCAGATGTATCTTAGAGAAGTTTTATACGTAGTATGGCGTTATGGCGATTGCGCGCAATGATTCATGTCATTTTCATATCAATCTACAAGTCGCGGTAAAACGGGGAAAACAAGAAAGAAAAGTCGCTTAGCACGGTCGCGATTTCATTGACGAGGTAACTTGACCAGGAGTGTGGAATTGAGAATCTGAGAGAGTCATGCCGCGAAGAATCTGTCCGAGATAAATCGAGTTCTCGTTGATGGAAGAGAGAACTTGAATCGACATGCTAATGCTTTGCGGAGTGAGATCGATGAGAAATTACTTTTTCGTCTTTGTTTATTGCGACAGCATGGAACGTCCGCGTGAAAACGTTGCAACTTTGTAGTGTAAAACAGTTTTTTAGTGTAGCAGTTTTTTTGTATGGTGGTTTTTCACATGTAAAATATTTTTCTCTGCAGGAAAAAATGTACTATAAAGATGGATTATATCTCGAGCGGTTTAGTGTTTGCTGGTTACTTTTATTAAAAATATTCAATCTCGTCGTTATTTTTATCTATTAAAAATACAAGTCCGTTTTTGTAGCGAATTAAAGTTGCGAAGTTTTCACGATGAATCCGAAAATATCATAGCCCGTGTGATAGCGCGAGTTGCTTTCTTCGTCGTACAACACGCGACTTAATTTCGCTTGGCAAAACTGTATCCGCGAGAGTCTTTTTATTTTATATTACTGTCTCTAAGATTAGTGTTACTGACTGTGTAGTCTCGCGATAACGTAGCTGTATTATTCATTATTCACCATGATTGCCATATTGTTGTAAAATTAGCTTAATACACAGACAGCCGGTAGAAGCTATTGTGACGAGTAATATATATATAATTATACATACAAATATATAATTATACATATATAAATATAGAGATACGTATTAGTTATACTACTGCTAAGTCACGTATTAGTTATACTACTTTTATGTGTGTATGCGTGTGGCCGCGTGGACGGATGGATGACACGTATGTGTATAAGCATTTCTAGTCACGTAATCGCACCAAAAAAAAAAAAAAGAAAAACTAAACGTAACAACTAAATGTCTACGCGTACATGTACATACGTACACGTGTATACCTGACATTGTTCGCTCATTTCAGTTGTGTACAGCGTGTTCCGGATCCGCCGAGAAATATTTTACGGACGAGTTCCGCGACGAATTTGAAGTCGACTCAGCGGAGATAAATTAAGTCGGACGTAAAAGAGCTGTCATTTAATTATCGCATTATATTTAAAATATAAAAGCTCTTTTCATACGAAGCGATCGATGACAAATATGCTTTGTTCTTCATCGATTCTAGAATCGAGACTTAAAAAGCTGAAAATTGTAAAATTGTCAAATTGATTGGAACGTCCATCCGTAAAATAATTTCTGGGAGATTCTGGTACATCCTGTATACAGTATAATTGCGAGTATAATTGCGCGCTTCTCACGTACGAGGAAAGGGAAAGGACCGCGATTGATCGAGACACGACGTGAAGGATCACGTCAACCTCTTAGAGACTGTGAGCCGTATAAAACGTTGCATTTCCAAGCAGATTTTCTACCAGAGATTACTTTTTTCCGATCTCCTTATTTTTTTACGGTTGTATTTTTTTTTTATCTGTCGGTTTCTTTTCTTTTCTTTAATCTGTCGCGAGAAGAAGGTAGTCGGAGGGAACGTGGCTAGGCCGCCCTGAAGGACTCGCGTTCGCGAAAGAAGTCGAAAGGGACGACGAGGATTCTTTCGAAGATACATGGCCTCCCGGTGAAAATCCACTATAATGACGACTATAATGCGAGGCGAGGTGAAATTTAACTGTGCCGATAACAGCCGCGACACATTTCGCTATGCATCCTATCATATAATAAAAAAAAAAAAACATGCTCTCTCTCTGCCGTTATCGCGGTTGAAAGCGAGCGAATTGCAGTAAATTGTGTGGGAGGATTAATTATAGCGTTATATCGTAATTATAATGATTAATGGTAATTATTATAACACACTGGTAATGATAAAGATAACTACAAAACAAGTGAATAATGACGTTTAATTGACGATCAATAATCAAGAACGCACGTATTTCATGATGCATTCATAGTTTAATATTCATTATTTGATTTCCGTTGCGAAAGAATGATGTGTAAGAATCTTATTACGAGGGGAATGATCAACAGGAGTGCAAAGGGCGAGCGTTAAGCACAAAAGATTAAAATAAAAAAAAAAGAGTGAAACGTCTCATTATATAAAGTTACCACCATGGAGAACCTTTCATTATATAAAATTATTATGTAATAATTGTCCATACATCTTAAAATGTCAGAATAAACTAATAATGAAAAAAATTATCTATGTTTATTTCTTATTTATTCGCTCTTATTTATTTCTCATTTATTTCCTATTTATTAAGCAATGGGAAAATCATCATCGTTATGATAATTACTTGTTATATTCTTGCGATTTGCTAATTTTATGAATTAATTAAGCAAAACGATCAAGAATCTTTATGTATCGTTTAATAATGGTTTAAGGTTTTAAAAATAAATAAACAGAGGTTCTATTAAATTTACGTTTTTAAAATACTTTATAAACGCTCCTGAAAGAATTAAAAAATGCACTTAAATGTCTCGTCTATGAAGGATGAATTCAATTGCCAGTTTTTTCACATTCGGGCATTGTTTAAATAATAGTCTCGATAAAACAATATGATTTTTTAACAAATTGCGTTCAGACAAATTGATTGCAGCCTTTACATAAAATAATAAAGGATTTTTTAATATTTATAAATATTGAAAAATATCAAAAAATATTGAAATACACAGCTTATTTAAAAAATGCTTCAAAACTTTATTCTATTATCTTTGTCAATTTGTAAACTTTGTGTATGAAATTCTCTCTTAATTTATGCGAAATGAAAATCAACATCATTTTTTTTCACTATATAAAAAATTAAAAAAAAAATTTATTTAACTAATTATAAATATTTATTCAAAATGAAGATAAACTTTATTTTTTATAAGTAAATAGCAGATTTTTTTTGTAAATGACATAACTGTTTAAAATTGTGTGTGTGTGTGTGTGTTCTTATCTTTGAACATCCTATATATTTCATTCTGTTATAATCTGATTAATTTTCGATTGACAAACAAGGATCTATATTTATCGAGTTGTTCGACGAATATGTTCATCATTGATATCGAGTTATACTTTGATTTTAATGAAATCATAACCCTACATCCTCGAAAATTCTGTTTGACTTAAACTACGTATTGACATACGAAAAGAAATCTACTATTTTCGAGGTGCACATTACG